GGGAGGACTTGCTATCCTGCAGCTGGGACAGGCTCTTCGGTGCTTGCTGCACCTTCTGATCCCACTCACGTGTTGTGGTGTCACTGCTGAAGACCTTGCAGTGTTATTGTTGGAGCATTAGTTGCTACTATTCAGCCCTGTCATTATGAGCACCTGCCCACAAGGCAGGTGCCTAGGGAAGAACATAGGAAAACACCAAGTGTGTCTTCACCGGGAGGCTCTGCCAACATCTACCAACCTGTGGCTGGAGGTACCCTGAGCTGGCCATGTTGTCTGGCTTGTTTTTTTCCAATGACATTGCTCTTTCTCCCCTTTGCCCTTTATAAGCGATTAAAAAAAATCTTGCAGGAAAGAGCTCGACAGCTTTAATGCTTCTGCGTGCTTTCCAAACCTATGTCCTGCGAACTTTATTTAACGGCCTCTACCCCTCCCTAGCCCCTTCTCCATGCCTTCCGTGACATAGCAGGCAGGCTTGGCTCCTCGCTTATGTACCTAAAGCAGGTATGAATATGACTAGTGCTCGGTGTCGTCTCTGGCTCCCTTGTCCACTGTAGGATTAGTGGATGAGGAGCAAATTCTTTTCTTTTCTGGAGATAAGCCAGGTTTTGTTGCTGGTCTTGCTGCATGACTAAATGACAATCTGAGGTTTAACTGCCAATCTGAGGTTTTGTGGCTGGAAACAAATCTGGTCTCAAACAGTGAAAACACTCAGTATTGGTCTGTCATGGTTTGGCCCCAGCTGGGAACAAAGAACCACGCGGCCGCTCACGCAACTCCCACAGCTGTGGGCAAAATCAGAAGGAATAAGGCAGAAACTCGTGGGTTGGGATAAAAGTAGTTTAACAAAACAGCAAAAGCAAGAGAAAACAATAACACTGGCAAAGGAATATACGAACGTGATTACAGTGCTGCCGCTCCCCGACCGGACCCGGACCGCCGCAGCCCCCTCCAAGCCCCGACTTCCTCCTCCCTCCCCCTGTTTGCGCCCCCCCCCCAAACCTGGGCATGGGTCACATGGCATGGAATACCTGTGTCCCCTGCTGGCTCCTTGGGAAAATTAACCCCATCCCTGCTGGAACCAGGACATAGCCTAATTTTTGAGATGTTCCGCTGCAGTCCTGACAGGCTGTTGGCACCACTGAGGCAAGGCAAGACCATGGGAGATGCAGGGTGGCAGTGGGACAGCTGAGGATGGGCAAAGCATTTTGGGCCACAGTCACTGAGCATTGCGCTGGTCCCACCTGCTCCACCAGGGAGGGCAAGGGTGACACTGGGTGCCACAGGTGTTTGTTGGCTCTCTAAGGCACCTGCCTTGGAATGCTGGTGTCCGAGAGATGTGTGCTGAGCTCCCATGTCTCCCTCTAGGCATGATGGACCTCCAGTATCTGCTCAGCAAACTCTCCCAGTGCAAGCACCTGGCCAACCTGGGCAGAGAGCTTCTCCAGGACATCTTGCGGTACCTCCACCGCATCGGGCTTGTCGTGTGGTATGAGGAAATCAAGCACCTGGAAAGCACTGTTTTTCTCCAACCTACCTTCCTAATAACTATGTTCAAGGTGAGCATGGGGAACAGGACCGTCTTCTCTGCAGGGCCCAAGCTCTGCAGCTTTGCTGGGATCCTCTCAGTGCCACTTCTTCTCTCCTTCTCTTCCCACCCAGCTCCTTGTGAGGTACCGCCTTGTCCAGCAGCTCGAGAGCATCTCTGTGGACACACTGATCGGGGAACATGCTACCATCAGAGACAGGTCCAACTGGGTGTGGACCTTCAAGTCAAAGGCAATGCTGTGCCACCGAGCCGTGCGTGCTTTGGTGAAGCACCAGCTCTGTTTGGAAGGGATGTGGGAGGTCTTTGAGGAAATCATGGGACACAGGCCCCACAGCAGGAGAGGGAAGCTCTTCAGCCTCCTGGAGCACTTTGAGCTCTGCCTGGAGGTGCGTCACACTGAAACGCTCAACCCACAGGCCAGTGAGTTTGTGCCTGGGAAGCCGTGGGAGACAACACGGGGCCAAGGCGAATCCTGGTACTTGTTCCCAACCTATCTGAACCAGACTGAAGAGGTCTCTGAAGTGTGGGGAGGAGATCACTCTGAGGACCTCCACATCCGTGCCTACTTCTCACCTGAAATACCTGAGGGTTTCTTCCAGAGGTAAGCAGCGGTTTCCAGCCCTCAATGAGGTTGTGTGGTTTGGGGTTTGCTCAGTGCAGCGCCAGTATGTCTGTCAGCAAGCCCTTGGCTGTTGAGACTGTTATCAGCTGAGGTATAAGGCTGAGACTCGGGAGACCAGGGCAGCTTCTCAGCTCTGCCACAGATGTGTGGATCCCTGAATGAACCATTTTGATGTTTGCTGCCTGGACGGGAGCAAGGACCATTGGTCCTTCTGGTTCACCTGTCATGTGGGGTGGTTTTTAGCTAGTCTGTGCCCATCCAGGCAGTCAGTGGTCTCCCAGTCCCACCTGAGGATGGTTCAGTTTCTACAGGCACTGGGACTGTTCCAGTTTCTGGAAGGTCTCCTGTCCTTGTGTTGTTCTCAACTTGTGTCCAGAGTTTTATCTGATGGCCAACTCTGGGAGCAGCTGTTGGCTTAACAGGCTGCTCCTGCTGCTTGAGCTTTCAGGAGGGCAGAGTCTTCATTTGGTGTCTGCCTCTGTTTCTGCTGAAATTTGGTTCATATTTTTCAAATCCACCCGGTGCCATGCTTTCTCCCAGTGTTAGAGATACGCAGGGAGGAGGGTGGTGAAAGCCGTGGGCAATCTCCTTGCAGGTTCCTGGTGAAAGCTTGCTCCTTCTACTCCACGCACTGGGTGGCCAAGGCAACCTGCCTGCTTATATGCAATGGCAAACCTCTGCTGATTAAAGAGAATAACCAGCGGGCCTACAGCTACCTGGAGCTCCGGTGCAGAAAGCCAGCAGGAAGGACAGGTAAGATTCTTTATTTCATGACTCCCAACCACATGTCTCTCCTTAGCTTCCCCCTGCTACCTCCACCCTTCTGGGCAGAGCATCCCAGAAGCATCTGCCACATATCCTAGTCTGGCCAGGGTCCACTAGCCAGTTTTCAGCTAAAGATTTCCCCTTTCTCTATGCAGCCTGGTCAGGATTCCCCCCAAGGTATCACATGAAAGTGGAAAGTCAAGTTTTCAGTCTTCTCACGGAGAAAATGAGTCATCCTTCCCCATAAGGTCCCAGCAGAGTACAGTCTCAGGTTGGGTCTCCAAGTGACAAGCAAAAGAGCCATCCGTGTTGGGGAACTCTTCCAACATATGTTTAAATTCCCTTTGAAAGCTGACGGGCCTTGGTTAACTTGAGAAACGGAGCTTGTCCAACTGTCTGGCTATGGCCCGGCTGGCTAGAAGTGATGAATGCATCACCACAGTATCTCCTTGGCTGCTGTGGTTGCATGGCTGTAAGTAAGATGTTCTCCTTTTGCCTGGAAGGTTTCCAGTTTGCCTGGGACTTCCTCATGGCAGTTGTGTCCATCATCCAGAAGCTTGCTGAGGAGTGGCCAGGGCTGCACGTGTGCATGAAGACCCCCTGCCGAACGGCTGGCTGTCCCGCTGAGCTCATCTGGCCAGACATGGATGGCACAAATGCCATGTATGTACATGCTGTGCCCCTCCAATCCAAGGGCTGGAGCTGGGTGGTTGCTGGTGGGGCTGGTCAGCTTCTAAAAGCCATGTGAGACTAGTTGTAAAACTCACCGGGTACTATGTTGCCCTTCTCCTGACTGTAGTAGTCCATGTCCCATGTGGTGTTAGCATTTACTTGTGTGGGAAATTCAAGCATGGAAAGACAGGTGAAAATGTTGAGACTCTGGGGCTCAGGCACATAATGTCCATTCTGGCCAGGTGCCAACATGTCCCCTGTTTCATGAAGAGCTGAAGGTGCTCAGGCACCTGGTAAAGCAGCAGTCGTCCCACCAACAGTGGAACCTTGGGTCAGGGTGGAAAGAGGGAGCCTCTGCCATCGCCTTGGTGTCATCTTCCATAGGAAGATGAACATAGGAACACTTCCATAGGAAGTGCTGAGGGACTCCTGCTCCTTCTACTTCTTGGGACTTTTTCCTCCACAGGACAAAGGAAGATGTTAAAACCTGTGGGACGTGCGGGCATCGCTTTGGTGCAGAGCTGCTCTTGCCCAAAGGTGAGCCAAATGGTCCTGGGTTTACACTGCAACCATGCTCGGGGGGGAGGAAGGTTGAGGGTTTCATGAAGCTGAGGTGTTGATGGTGTGTGTCCCCCAACCCCACAGTGCCCAGGCAGCTGGAGGAGTGCCCAGTGCAGCCCTCTGCTCACTATTATGTGACAAGCTATGGGACCACCACCTTCGGGACCAGCAGCATCCATGTCAATCACCAGGTAAGGCGGCTGCCACTTCCCCTTGGCCAGGGTCCAACACTGATGGCCAGGCTCATCCTCTGCCCTTACTCCTGAAATGAGGGGGTGCAGCTGCTCCCAGCCTGGGAAGGGGACACCTCATCCTTGGGCATTACCACACTCCTCCCCCGAGATACCACCACCTCTGTGCCTCAGAGCTGAGCTCCGGGTGCTTCATGTTGTAGTTACTGCCTTATTTTTCCAGAACATCTCAAGTGAGTAACTCTGGGCCAGCGGAGAAGCACTCGCCGAAGAAAGGATTATTTTTGTTTAGCCAAAGCCAAGCTGTCCTCAACGCACGTTGCTTGCAAGCCATGTTTGCAACCTTAATGCATGGAAATAAATGCATCCCTTCATGCATGGGAATTCACCTCATTTACACAAATGTAAGGGGTGAAGGTGCTGACAAGTGCTCCGGTACGAGCCTGCTGCCAGCGGGGGTTTGCTGACACAAGGCTGGCTACAGCCCCCCATGGTTTTGGGGGACGGGGTCTCAGACTGATAGTGGAGGCAGATGTCTGGGCAACATCAGCAAGCAGGAACCACCTTTCTATACATATATATTTAAACTTAGAAAATTTAAGAAAATAACTCTGTAAATGACCCCACGCCACAAAAAAACACATTAGCAACTGACAGAGGGGAAAAGCAATGTGTCAGCCCCAGGACTGGCCAGTAAAGCTGTCCTTGGGGTGGAGGGAGCAGCAGAGAAAAGATCCCCAACCAT